AAAATTTAGTTTAATTAAGTCAATGTTTGTTGCCACCTGCTGTATACCTGATGCTGCGTCTCACTGCGTGTGATACGGCTCTCCAATTTATTGGTCAAAGACAAATCCACATTTTTTTTAGCTTCTTCTTTGAACGTTTCCGACCCCTGGCCTAATATGCGGGCGAAGGTGGGGCAGGAGGCCTCCGTGGGGGTCGAGGGTCTTTCTCGTCCACGTGCTGACAGAACTGACGTCTCCAGCCATGTGTTGAGGTGCTCACTGGCCATCTCTCCTCTTGACGCACTGCTGCTGTTTGCGGCTCAACAGACGGCATGCGAAGATGTGAACACACGGACATCATCACCATGATGTCCTTTTACCCCACGTAGGCATCTTAACCACAAATGACGAGAATTGTGTTATTTTTCACCTAGATTACAAGACGCTCCGGAAAGCTGCTCCAGTCGTCAACGAAATCACTCGAATCTCACCAAAGACAAAGATCGCCCGTGTAGCCTGAACAGACTGTTGGGGCAAGCGCTGTCAGCGAGTAGCACCCTATGAAGGCCGGCACGGCACATAACGTGGGTGGGTGGCCAGCACCACGGTCAGCCGCCTTTGTCTCCCCAGTGACGATGTTTACTACACACCGCAGCGGGTTCTCATTTGAGGCTGTGTCGACCTAGGGGAGGCCCAGGACCGGTTCAGATAATCGTCACTTGTGTTGGCCGTGAGCAGGAATCGAACTCGGTCGCCGGGTTCGTAGCGCAGCACGCTAACAACTACACTACCGCTCACCACCACACGCATACACTTAATTGTCGTGTTGTAAAGCAATAGTTGGGGATGCATTTTATAATCCAGTAGGCGCGTGTGATTTGATTTTCCTCTCATTGAATTGGCCACCCGCTCAGACAGTTTGGCTGGAGGGCCAAATGGAGACACAGAAACATCATAATGACTATCTCGAGTGTGCACTACTTCGTGTTTCAGTAATAAAAAAATGTATCAAGACGAAATCACTTAATAAATATTCCGAGTCATCCCGCACGGCGACGATGAGATACGCGAGATGAGGCTGTGCACATGGTTTAACGACACACACAAACTCTACATCAGGCATGATATCACTCCACTGCTGGATGAAGGCCTCCTCCAAGCCGTCACCGCCTCTCACAATCCCGCGATTTAATAATCCGCTTTGCCCATACACGTGAGCCCACCTCCTCGTGTGCCGTGCCGGTCTTGATAGGAGCTCGCTAACAGCACTTGCCCAAACAGTCTGTTAAAGGCTATACGGGGGATCTTTGTCTTTGTCCAACGTGACGCAATGAGCACTTTTTCAAACTGATATGGTGTGCGTGTATCCCACCGCTGTTTCAATGTAATACCACGTGGGCTTAGATTATTATCAATCATATCGTACGCGTGCAGCGTCTCTGTGTGTGTGTAGGCTTCATATATGTATTTGAAGAGAGAGGCAAAGGAGGAGGGATGCAATCAGATCGTGTGCATCGCAGCATCATGGGAGATGGCGGCGACGCGGATGTTTAGACAGGGGCATGTGCATCCAGCAGTGGATTAATCGCGTCCGTCACGAATGGTGAAATGGGTACACTCGGACAGCTGTGCCGTGGTGAGACGCGATGATCGGCGGAGGGCAAACGAAGCTCCCTCCCCCCCCCCCCCCCCGTGTAAGATGGGTTACGGACGGTGGATTCTTTATACCTGGCCGCTGCAAAAGTGCGCCGCAAGTTACGGTCGAGAAGAGCGCCGAGCACTTTGGTCGCGAGTTCACCAAAGTCACGGTTCCTCTCCACCGGTGGGGCAGGGGAGTTCAGGGGAATGAGCAGCAATTCCGTGTCGTGTACATCTAACAACGTTTACAGATGTGAGCGCAGGCTTTCAATGTTTAAAACCCCCCTTCAAAAGACCACCTATTGCCGAAGCAAAAAAAAAATGAATGCGTACTTTGATTTTTCTTGAAGTCGTAAGATTAACTTGGAAAATCGGTCCAAATCTTGTTTAAATCGGCAGCCTATAGGGTTGGGTTGGCAAGTATGCATCTAGGAGCATCTATTGAGCAAGTAAGCACCATACACACGCATGCGTGCGTAGACCGTGCTGTTAGTTGCATTAGCTAGCCGTGGATTCATTGTCATCGTTCATGTCCCCTTTACCTGTCTTCTCTTCCACGCATGCGGTCGGCTCTGCTTCAGTTCTCCAACCGTGGCACGCATAAAACTTCCCCTTTTTTCTGTATCGCACTCGGATCTCTGACTAGACAGCACGATCCCACCGACACATTCAAGTGAATGCAGTGGTGTGAGTTATCGTGCTTCTTGGGGGATTCCATCAGTCGTAGAACGTGACGCACCTTTGTGAGATTGCCGGATGGCTTAGGAGTCAGAACAATGAGCCGGGTACTCCTGAGTTTCTGGGTTTGAATCAGGCTTTCGACCACCCGTGGTTAACCGGTTTCTCAAGCGTAGCGAGTTGTCTCAGCTCGGTCATCAATGACGGCACGAAAGTCGCGTTTTCACACAACACAAAAGTCCAGTAAAAAATATCGGTACGAATGTCATTCGATGGAACAATTATCTTTTAAGGGAGCGTGTGAGCAATTGTGACCCCCATATGGGTATACAAGGTCAGTTGATGGGACCCCCTCAGTATTCTGTCAACTACAGATTGTTTTATTCGAATGATCGATAACGCACTGCTCTGCCTGAGTTCCAAACGGACGATTAATCCCATGCCTCAAGTTCACGTGCACATCGACTTTGGCAGTCCACTGCTGCATGAGGGCCCCCTCCACCACGTCGGTCAGTATGGATTGGTGAAGGCACGGAGCATAAACGGGGATGCATAAAATTGACAGTGCAACTTCGGATGTCGCTGCATCGTTCTTTCTGCTACTCGACACGCAGGCCCGCAATCCCGTGACGCCCTGTTTGTGGATAGTGGTCCGAGTGATTTGTTTAGCACGTTTCAAATCAAATTACGGAAGCGATAGAGAAAAAACCCATCTGGAATGAACAACACAACCGGGCGACGAGGCCTCAAGGCAGCACCAATGGAACGGCTCCTCTGGGTTTCGAATGAACTCCTTGCCTTCTGGGCGAGCTCATTTTGCGGCTAATTTCTCCGGAGTAGTTAATTTTCGTTGATGGAAAAATCCGACCGTAACGCCTTGTGTCGTGGGGGTGTAAATTATCCGAGTGCGATAGTCAAGGCTCTGGCAGTTGCTCGCAACACGAACACCTCCCTCTGGCAATCGTGGCATTATATTTTTTCTCAGCCAAGGTGAGAGGAACAGCTGTTGTAACGCGTCACATGATTTTTGTTAAATATAAAACAAAAATTGTCGCACGCAACCGCCGTTGCGCGCCGCCCATTGAATTTGTCCCGGAGGCGCATTGCCAAAATTTGATGCTGTCGGGAACGAGCGCGTAATGGATCGAGGAGGCGAGATGCATACATCTTACTTTGCCGTGATGTCCAGCCCGCCACGCCAGCGTACTCGCGGCACCGTAACCGCAAATTGGTTAACGTGGGGGGCCATTCGTTAAGTTGAAAAATGTGGGCTGGCTGCAACAGCAGAGGGGCCAGCGGTCCTGCTTGGCGCGACACATTATGCCACGGGACACTTTAATTGGGAAATAAATTACACCCGGTTTGCGATCGGTGTTGAGAGCTGCGCGAGAGATTACAACATGGGCGTGCATTTTCACGTGCACATCGAGAACTTGGGTGCAAAGGCTTAGCTTAGCCAAGACAATGGCAATAGTTTATTCTCACCGCGGTGGTAGCTTTGTTGCAGGGGCGAGGTGTATTTAATCTCAATCCACTCAAGTAATGAGACGATTTACATTCACGTAAGATCATATAAATGGGGTTTGCACAACTGAATTTAAGTGTTTTTTTAAGCTAAAGTATAAAGCGAGGTCGGTTGAGGATTTACATTTGGATAATTCCTTTAAAATGTGGCTTAATAACAAGCTCCAATGAAAAAGGTTGCTCGAAACCAATTTATTTGCAGATTTTATTTTCCCCCTCACAAAACTTGACGGACGAGTAATGTTTGTGACTCAGGCACCCGACAATCATCCGTAGACTGACTCTCGACGCCCCTTAACGTATGTACTTTGCACTCATTTCGAACCGTGCTAAGGATACAGCAGACTTTCATAAATAATAACCGAATCCCAGAGGTCACGCGTGCACCAGAAGGCCCCAGCACTATCCGCAGGGCACAGTCTCGTAGGTGTGTACCTTTTTATTAGCATCATCATTAACATCACCCATGCGAGGAGAACACCCCCCCCGGTTTCACCAACTCCGTAAATTGACGTCGCATTTTAAAAGGAGGAGAGTGACACCTTGCCCAGGAGCCACCCCCCATTACAATGAGCAGCGGCACAATGCTGGCGTGAGACGACATCGAAGTGGGCGAATCGTCGCCACTCTGCTCAAACAACAACTCGTTAGCACATTCTGTTGTACACAACCCCCCCCCCCCCCCCCACATCGTTAGCGCAAAGCTGCCCAGTTATTGTTTGTTTTGTTTAGGGGTTATTAAATAAGCCCGTGCGTGTGTGTGTGTGAGCTCCTCCGGCGGGGAAGGCTGCGTTGGCTGGGTCATGTAGCCCGCATGCCCAGCCACCGCATGCCGAAACAGCTTTTGTTCGGCCGGATTGAGGGGGCTAAGCGGGCGCGGCACGGGCTAGAGAAGAGATGGAGTGATGTGGTACAGGAGGACGTGGAGCTGAGTGGACTTGCTGATGACTGGTACCAGCGGTGTCAAGATCGGCCTCTGTGGAGGAGGCTCGTGAAGGACGCTACTGGGCAGTTGGAGGTAGTCGCCCTCCAACAACAACGGACGGCGGAGGAGCGACGCTCAGAACAACGAGCGGAGCGCCGGGTGGCTAAAGCACAGCAGGTTGGCACAGTAGGGGGCACAGGTGGTGCATCAGCCAGTCATCTCAGTCAGTCGACCCGTGGCACCTGGGTCTGCCCCGTGACCTCCTGCCAGCAGGCGTTCGACACTTCACGTGGCCTCAGGGTGCACATAGCCTGGCACAAGCGTCGTGGTGACGTCACCGCCACTTAGTGGCGAATGGCGGTTGTTGTTGTGTGTGCCGTAATGGATAATTGGACCAAATAATGGGGGAGACCGCTGTAAGGAATGACCTCTGGAAACAATGTGGGGTTTTTTTTTACACAGCGCACGCAACTCTTAGCTGCAACTCTTCGCGACCACGCCATTGTTCGACAGCCTCGAACGCCACTGCCGTCGACGTTTACGAGGGGTGAAATGAATTTGCTCCCCGTCACGATCCAATGAGTCGTCACTGATACATGGAATCGTAATTCCAATGTAAACATTCTGCATGGTTCATGTAAACGGAGGCCGTGGAGGTGATCCTTGCGGGGTTAAGGGTTTAAACCCAGCAAATGATCGCATGCTTAATCTCAGCTGATGCCGAACGGAGCGGCCCCTAGTAGTGGTTGTAGTGTGCCACGCTGAACAGAATACGTAAAACATATTACAACCTGAAATACATCGATTGTTAGCGAATACGCTTGTGGTCTGTAGTGCAGAAGAATAGCAGCATTGTACAGGGTGGTCCGGATGTCTTGTAACCCACCCCTCCCCCCAATTAATTGGCCCTTAAAAACATTTCCTTTGTATGTGTATATATTTTTTAAAATAAACCTTACTAAAAAAATACGTTTTAGAGAATTAAATGGGGGGTAACAAGACATCTAGACCGCCCTGTACGGTATGATGTTCGGTTCTGATTATATTATCCGGTCGAGAGCTTGGGTAGATGCTGAATGTTTTTTTTTAAAGCATGTATCACGAGCTAAAGAAATGCAACGAATAGGCCAATCGATGCATCGCTATACCCCAAGTAGTCCGGCTTTGCAAGACAGGGCTGTCATCTGCTATTTCATGTTTGCTTAAATACACCGCCAAGTGTGGCCAACTAGGATTATACAGAGTGCGAATGTCAAATCGGTGACAGATTGATATTTAATTCATTGGACATGGCCCAGGGTGGACGTAAAATAAATCAGGGCAGATGGCACCGTCAGCTTGAAATGGTCGGGCTGTGTTGACGCCCGCTGCACATCGCAGAAGCAATGGCAGAGAGAGAGAGAAATAAATACTGCCCTGATCTTGTTTGGCACGATGTCAAAGCACAAATTTTGTATTTAAGCTTGTCCAAGAATATTAAGTGTAAATTATATTCAAATAGTTGGAACTGTTTATCGTAAACGTACTCTCTAAAGACAATGGTTTCCAAATAGACTAAGTTGGCGAAGATTGATGAGTAACTTTTGTTATCGCTGCAAAGTTTAGGGAGTGAAACATCGCACGAATTATTTAAATTGCAAAGGGACGATTTGTTTGTACAAAGCATTCTACAATGTCAACATGCAAAACATAATTATGTTTTTTTTTTACACGTGGCAATTAGTCTAATTTACGGAAAATACATCACTATGCATGAACAGGGGGAGATGTATAATGCTGCTAACAATGCGTGCCATAGGCAGTTCAAATTTCTAAAGCAATTTTCAAGCAAGTACCATGAGCACCGGTTTAATTACGGTCTCATTACTGGCGAATGGGCATCACAATGACTCTTGCTTAATCAATAAATCCTGAAGCACTGTGAAATGCACAACTCAACTCGGGCTGACAATCAAATTGGAACTGCAAACACTGTGAAATGCAAAGCACGGGAGTATTTACCATATGTCTAAGCGTGCACTTTTTCTGTACACATAACGTACACTTGGAATGCAGCTCCTGTGCAAATTACATGTGAATAAACATACCCCGTAATTGCATAAGTACTCCACGACTGATAACTTTGAATAATTTACAATAAACGGGGTGTCGGAGCAGTGGCGAAATGGTTAGCGTGCTGTGAAATCTGCTTTAATGATGACCCTGCGATCTGCTTTAATGATGACCCTGCTGTCATCATTAACATGCACCGACCAAGCGTGGCGAGTGACGCGGCACGGTGGAAGCCTTCACCTTGGCAGTGGATTCACGAAGGGCTGCAAAAAGTTATTCATCACCAGTAAACAGTGGTTGCACGTATCCACATTTAAACGTGCAAACGCACACGAGGCGGGGCAGGCAAGTCAGTTTCTCGCTTCACACACGCGCATAGAAACCCGGGGGTTTCTTTTTTAGAAGATCTTGTACGTCGCCCTTCTCTCCGCCCCGTTTCTCCTTCTTCGCTCTTCATTCGGACCCCTTCTCAGCACGGACCGTGCCCTTTGAGCAGCCGCCAGGGATTTTCTCACCGCTGCCACCGCCGCCTCTCGTGTCCATTTCCCCCTCGTCGAGAGCCCTCGCACTCGGTGTTCGGAGCACGTCCGTTTCCTTGGCGCCCTGTCCAACCTCCGCGACCTCCTCCCCCTGCTGCTCCCTGTCAGCCCCCCGCTTGCGCTTGTTACTGACGGCGCTCAATTTGCTCCCCTCCCTGGTTAGCTTCATGCTCGGGAGGCCCAGGCTCTCCACGCACACCACCGCGGCTGCCTGCTCCGCCAGCTTTTTACTCTTTTCCCTGTTGGGCGGGGGAAAGAGAAAACAAATCACGGGGCACGTCACAAACAAGCGGAGACAAGGCTCGCCCATGTAGCCGCACGGGCTGTCGAGGCAGGTGGCGTTAGCGAGCAGCTATTACGGACGGAGTGGCCCTCGAGGAAGTGGTGCGACCCACAGGACCACGCCGCACCACATTTGCCTACCCAGTGCCGATGTTTAAGTACCTCGCGAGGCGCCGGTTTAAACCGCTGTAGTCTGTGCTACTCCTTCAACGGAGGAGCAGCACAATCACGTGAAATCTCTCCTGAAGCCCAATCGTGGCGAGCAGATCTCCACATTGGCATTTAGCCTCCGGAAATATTGCCATACGCAAAAATCAAATTGGAGGTCGAGTTTAACTAGAGGTTATGATACTCGCTGCTGCTGTTGCTGGCCGAGGCTGGGAATGAAACTCTGGTTAACTGGGTTCAAGGCGCATTGCATTGCTAACCTCTGCACCGCCGCTCCCCACAACGTGCGCGTCACACGCACATCAAGAGTCCACGTTCGGTTCAAAATATCGGATCACTGGTGAGGAGAGATAACAGGAAAGCGATATTGTCAATACGCCATGAGGCTTCATACAGGAAATGGTAGATCTGTGTGGGACCATCCAAAGTGACGTTAGAGATCTCTTAGGATTGTCATGAGAGCCATATCTCAGAGCAACCACTCGGGCATATGCGGATAAAGGTTCTACCCTTTCTGGCAAGACAACAGGTGTTAAGCAGTTCAAACACCAAATAAGATACATTTTGCAAGGAATAAAGTCTGCATTAACCGCACATACTTGTGGTGAACATACAAACAAAGAAACTTTTTCACACTTTGATACTGCGAATAAGGTCTCATGGTAGATACAGGTTGCGTGCGCACACACACCGTGTAGCACAAATGAAGAGACAGAATAAGGCAACGTTGCCATTTGTGATATTGTCTCATTCACTTGCACATGCCATCATGTGTACATGGTTATGTGTCCCCTGGGATGGAGTGGAGGGGCACTGCTGTTATAACCCTGGCGAACTGAGTTCACTGGAGAGTAGCATCTGTTCTCTGGCTCCGACCTCCTTCACCAACGTGCACGAACCAGCGCGGTGAAGTATGGCCAAACCTCCATGACGACATAACGTGGAGAGGCCTTCAAACATCAGCGCATTTTTCGATTTAAAGCTTTCGTGACTGCAGGGATTCATCTTCTTGTTTCTTTCGGTATAGCCACGTAGAATGGAAATAAAATAATAAAAATAAAACATAATAAAATAAAATTCTCACGACGTTTCGGCCACAACACATCAGCGCATTGACAAACAACCGTAAATTTGGATGTTCGCCACAAGTACCGGTGTGCGTTTAATGCCGAGTTGACCCCTCGCAAAATGTTTCTATTTGGTGTTTGAACATCTTAACACGTGTTGTATTGCCAGGAAGGGTACAACCCTACTCTCTTTTTCATACTGTGACACTGTAAAAAAGGTCCCGTGACATAACCGTAAACGATTACTCAAAGAGAATAAGCATGTCGACACGTTAATTAACCGCAACCGATAATCCGTACAGAAATCCATTGCCGAAATAATCGGCTTTGGCTCAGCTCCTACCGCTGCGTGAGACGCTGGGTGAGACGTCACCGTAATTGCGTGATCTCACCAGTTGATGGTGGAATATTTCTTCCCCGCCACCACTGCCACGGAGCGAAAGAAACGGTCTTCGGATCGCTGCTCCTGCAGAAGAAAACGACCGACGGCATCAACTTGTCCCAGGTTTCTAAGCAAAAGCTCTGAAGCTCTTCTTCTTTCTGCTGTGTACGCGTTTCTCGTATTCGTCTCGACAAGTGATTGACCAATTAAAAAGAAAAACTGGGCTCGCCACTGCGGAATGTAAAATTGAATTCAAGCTGCGGGTTGCAACGGGTACAAGATGCAAGACAAATAAAAACGGCATGACGAGCAGCAATCACAGCATGATCGTCTCCTCCAAAGGATCTAAAATGCAGCGTCAGCTTTGTTGAGGTCGGCATCAAAGGGATCCAGATTAAAAAAAAAACATGTTTGAAATATGACACAGTTATATATATATGAATACATAAAATCAACATGGACAGCCTTATTTTGTGAACTCACCTAATTTCTGCTGCTGTTCACTTCACCAATTAGGAGTAAGGTCTGCCGCTTGAAGCACATCAAATGACGAACATAAATGTGTGGTCGGCCACTCACGGTTGTGTACTGGGGCTGGCCGTGTTTCGAGTGGCGGCACCACTCCAGGACAACGGCCTTGGGGGTGACGTTCTCGGGGTATTCCCTCCTAAAGCGTGGCACAGCGAAACGAGACACCTGTGAGCAAAGGCGCAGGTGAAACAATTCCACGCCTGTCGCGGCGACGTCATCGCGACGGCCACTGTGAGCGGCGGCACCGTGTAGCCGGAGCGGCACCGTATAGCCGGAGCGGCACAATTATGACTGCGTGCGGTACGACTGTCCCCGCCCGTTTGATCCGACGACCGACGGGCAGTTTCAAGATGTGCCCCGCGAAGTGCAGCAGCGTGGACGTCCAGGCTGTTGCAGCAGTGTGGACGTCGCGCCCGCGAGGCACAGAACGACGAACGCGAACACGCGGGAGGCGGGGCAAGATCGGCGCCAATTGCTTTGGACGAAGGAGGATTTGGTTTAACTAACTTCGGTTTAACTAACGTTCGATTTAACCATCGTTCGGTTTAACTAATGTTCGGTTTAACTGACGTTGGGTTTAGCTAACTTCAGTTTCACTATCGTTCGGTTTAACTAATGTTCGGTTTAACTGACGTTGGGTTTCACTAACGTTGGGTTTCACTAACGTTGGGTTTCACTATCGTTCGGTTTCACTATCGTTCGGTTTAACTAACGTTGGGTTTAACTAACGTTCCGGCAAACACGCGGCCGGTATTCCGGAGTATTCGGCGTTGTTATTTAGTGCCCGTGTCCCGTCGCGACCGTGTGTGGCCCGGTGACTGCATCTGCGACGCCGCACATGACATCAACGGACGGCATCGATGATCTCCAGCAGCCACACGGACATTATTTTTGCGGATAAAACGTTTGTAAGGGTAAGGCAATTTTCTCGAATACTCTAGAAAATGATGACACCTGTCAGCAGGCTAAAGGCTATTTACTTGAAATCCGGCATCTGTCTGTTCACACGAAAAATTACACCCAGGCACAATAATCCATTTTTAAATAAAATAAATAACAGCGCTGATGTAAAAAAAAAACGTTGCGTTCTCAATCAATACCCGGCATGGTGCATGAAGATGCTGATGGCGACGTACGTTTAGGTGAGAAATGGATCGTTTAAACGCGTTCATTTCGTACGGAATTCCACGTGTTGAGCACAAAGCTCATCGGTGCGGAGCGAATGACATTCGCACTCCTCCGAGAGTTCACACAAAGTAAACGAGAAATATGTTGAATGGCATTTGACCTCGCACGAACGTTAAAATTCATCTGTACGTACTTGATTTTTCCTCCGCCCACAAAATCAACGGAAAGTAAATTAAAAACTATCCCGAACGTTTCAACGCCGCAGTAATACCCTCGCCATTAGAACGTTGGCTGAGAAGCAATGATCGTGTGCAGGCAAGGATAAATAACGTGACCATATCTCTCCATGAATCGGGCTTAATCAAGTCAGGGCAGAGTACCCCCAGTCTATGGGTAACAATGCATCGTTATTTCCTCGTCAGGCGAGCATTCTTCGTTATTAAATGGGAATTCGTATCGTTAAATTCAGCTCTACATTTTTAATATTTTCACGATTTCGATTCACCCCTCTGCACAGACCTCTCTGATTTAGGAAGGCGACAGCAACGTTAACATTGCAGTTGTTCATTTCAGTCAGTTTAACACGTACCAATATTATTCATAATTCACTCTTCAACACACCGGTGGGCTAAAGTAGTGAACTATTTGTCTTTTGTCAACGTGACACTTTTTTGGCCGTGTCGGGTGGTGGAGGGTTACGACACATTTATAAGTAACGCGATCTAACCCAAAAACCTTTATTATGTTCATTTCAGTGTTTATTGTACGTGTGTTGTTGAACTTCTTTCGCACCATACGTAGCCAACCGTGCTAATCGAAGGTGTGTGGGAAGGACAACTAAACACAAAAAGCAGCTCTACAGAAATGAGTTTTCAATCTAGATTTTGAAAGTGCATAGCTCCAGTGGCTTCCTCATTTCTGTGGTTTATGTCTGCTCCTCCTTGGCGTTTAAGAGTCCAACATTCTGATCCGTATGTCAATACTGCTCTTATTACTGCCTGATATACTTTCCCTTTCAACCAAGTCAGACTCTTCCTGGAATTATTATGCTGATGAGGGGCATCATCATGATCACACTGCCGTAATGTTTTGATTCGCACCGCGGACTTGCAATCCAGAAGTCACCGGTTGGATCTGCTGGCGCAGTGGTCGAGACAATGGTGTGACTTCATTAACCTCCACCGCCTGTCCACCGCGCAGCACGAATGGTCAAGTGTGCTGTTGTTGTTGTTGTTGTTGTTTTCCCACCTCTTCCAGGAAGGGGTTGAGGAGCCAAAATATTATCTTGCGGAGGGTCTCTCGAGAGCCCCCTCTCATGGAGGCCCTTCCGCCAGCAGTGGTGTGAGTGAGCAATTGCACGGCCTGCACATTTACTACCTTTCGTCATCACCGCACTGCCAAATGCTAGTCGTCTGGAACCTATTTCGCAACGTACATAGCCTACCTCCGATCAGCACGGTTGGCTACGCACGGTGCGAAAGAAGTTCAACATACGACGGCCATTCGCCACTAAGTGGCCGTGACGTCGGCACGCCGCTTGTGCCTTGCTACGTGCACTTTAAGCGAAATAGGTTCGACACGCGCGCACATACACGCAACCGCGCAAATTGGAGGTGCGGGTGGCAGCGACGTGCGAGCGGGCGAGGGGCCTCACCGGTCGAAGTGAGCGTAGGCAGCGGTGACGTCACTGGCCAAGTCCGACCGCAGGAGGCGGCTCGTCGCGTCCCTGCCGTTCAGACGCTCCACAGCGGCGCGATGCCGCTCCCTGGCGTCCCGGCAGAACTCGCCCATGCCGAAGAGGTCACTGCGCGCCCGACGTCGAGACATTCAATGCGCCGTCGATCGTGTCGTCATGTCCTGTGCTGTGCAGGACGAGGGCCCGGTCGGGCGCATTATTGCACAGGGTCGTGGACAGAGATCCCCCGGGTGGCCTTTTAAGAGACTGTTGGGGGCAAGTGCCGTTGGCGGAGCGGCTACGGAGGCCGGCACTGTGGCACACGAGGGCGGGGTGCCCAGCACCACGCCAAACCGCCTTTGTCTCAACCAGTGGCGATGTTTTACACATCGCGCAAGATACTCATTTTGAGGCCGAGTCGACCTAGGGGAGGCTCAGAACCGGTTCAGGTAATCGTCACCGGTGTTGGCCGTGAGCGAGAATCGAACTCAGGTCACCGGGTTCATAGCGCAGCGCGCTAACCGCTACACTAACGCTCCCCACAGCAACTCTCACACACTTTTTTAAAAGCTTTCCAACTTTAGCCATTAGCACTGTCCAGTCGTTACAGGTGGTGACTTACTATAATAATAATTTACATTTATTTGTAAGGCATCTTCGAGTAATGTCTCATGATTCAATATGACCGAACCTGCAGTATTAAGTGGTGTTGCAGTTCGTGCCTTCCCTGATTTAATGCTGGAAACATGTATCAATGAGTTGGCCAAAACTTGGAGACACAACACATTTTTCCCTGACAGCTGCCCTTCAGCTTCCATGCTGCTAATCGAATACCTCTAAAGACAAATGCATGTTTGAAAATCCATGCATACGCATGATTTTTCAACACCTGTTTAAATGACAAGTCTGGGTTATTGCTCGATGAGATGTGGAGATTGACACTGCAGGTGTCATGGTCTCCGGTTGTGAATAACGCCACAGGGTTATTTCCTTCACACTTGCTACGGAAAGGTAACAACACCAATGTGCATAACAAAAGAGCGTCTTTGGTCAGTGAGCACAATACCGGCTATGACACTTTGGACATTAACAAAAAAAATATACACATAGAGAATTGAGGAGAATTGCATGCCTGGAATTATACCGAGCGACAGGAAGAGAAGTATGTGGATGAGAGAACACAAGCGAGTGAATGAAATCATTCAAACCTCTGAAGAAAGGTGAGTGGGCCCTGGGCAGGACACGTCACTCGAAGGGAGGATGGCCAGAAAAAAGTAATCATTAGGCATTAATTTATTCACTGCTGGATGGAGGCCTCTCCATGCTCACAGGCCTCTTTGTAGGTTTGAGCAATGCGGTGGGTGAGCAATTACCATGTCAGAGGGCTTATCACGTGATTGTCAGAGCCATCCATTAAACCTCTGCTACACATTTAAATTCTGCTCGTCTTACCCTCAATACAATGCGACAAAAAAAACCCATATAAAACGCGTCTCCGATTAGCACTGTTGGCTACGTACGGCGCGAAAGAAGTTGAACATACATACGTACAAAACTATCAATCCACGAATGGATTAAGTCTTTCCGAACACGATTTCGTCATGTGCGTTGGTGAGCATACTTCACCCACGCTGGCTAGTGGAGGCCGGTTAAGGGGGTGATGCCCAGCACCCATCAGATACCACTCGCCACTGATGATAGTTAATTACCAATTACTATGCCTACCACTCCGTTTGGAGAATGAAAGGGGCCGGGATGGAAAAAAAGACGAAAATAACCCTTTGATTTTGAAGACCGATTTTGAAAAGGCCATATAAAACGCGCCTCCAATTAGCACTGTTGGCTACGTACGGCGCGAAAGAAGTTGAACATACACACATACGTACAAAACTATCAATCCACGAATGGATTAAGTCTTTCCGAACACGATTTCGTCATGTGCGTTGGTGAGCATACTTCACCCACGCTACTAGTGGAGGCCGGTTAAGGGGGTGATGCCCAGCACCCATCAGATACCACTCGCCACTGATGATAGTTAATTACCAATTACTATGCCTACCACTCCGTTTGGAGAATGAAAGGGGCCGGGATGGAAAAAAAGACGAAAATAACCCTTTGATTTTGAAGACCGATTTTGAAAAGGCCATGGTGACTCAAGTTTGATGTTTTCCTTTCAAGAATTAATATTTATGGCGAACGTGTCCTAAATTGCTTGCCGCGGTCGATGTGAAACGTCAAGTCTAAAGGTAAATATAAAAAAAATAAATCCACACATTTCCCTCCAAGTACCCCCTTGCCAAAAAAAAAACCTTCATAAACATTTCCCCAAAGAAAAGGATATTGTGGCACTTGGCGATGGAATTTGAATACATTTCAAAATTCCCAAACCTGGTGTCAAAAGCAGCAGCTTAGCCCTCGCCGAAATGTTAACATGGGGGCGGGGTGTGGAGAAGAAAGGAGGGTTTGAGGCGTCGTGGGGATTATCGGAAATGCCACAGCACGTGGAGAGGCGTCACTCTCATTCGCAGCGGTTTTACAGTATTAGCAGCCGAGCCAATTTTCACGTGATCGACAAATCGAATCCCAGGCAGCATTATGATGCTACGGGGTCCATTAACAAAGTGCATGATGCGTCGAAGACACTGAACGCCGCGCAGTCTCGCGTTCAAGAGCATCGTGTGACGACATCGCATGCCGATGTCACACCAGGGGCAGAAGGATATATAAAATAAAATTGTCTTATGGTGGACACAATCTATTACGTATTTTCCGATTTGTCCAGCTCTCCGATGTGTTTTGCTGTAGCTGCCGCGTGTCTGACAATTCTGCCTCCACTTGCCGGGAACTTCTTCATGAATTCAACGTTAAAATTCTACAGGGCAAACAGCCCAACCACGAACACCCACGAGGTGGTTTGCATTCGACTGTGTTGCACGTGGTGGTGCGGTGGCTCACGTGCTACACAATGAACATCGTGACCTGAGTTTGATTCCCGGCCACATCCGAACCGGTCCCCGTTTTCCACAAATGCGGACAAAACGGACGTGTGGACGTGCATTTGTAAGCGGGCGGCAGTTGAAGTCAGAAAGAGTGCAGACAGACCCTTTATTTCAACCAAGGTGTGTGTCAATTGAGAACTACAAGTCTCTTTTTGCAAGGGAGACCCAGTTGCGCACATACAAGCACACAAGAGGAATAAAAACGTGCACGTGCATGGGTTTTGCAATGCTTTCCAATATGCGTTTGTCCTCGGAGGTACTTAATTCGCGACAATGAAGCCCGTGGTGATTGCACCAGGCTCAGGAAGCAGGACGTTTGTAGGCCGCAATCAGATGATGACGCTCAGATAGTGGATTTACAGGGGAGGAGGAGGAGGTGTGGGCAACACTTATTTATTTGGCTGGTTTTCCCTGGAGGTCGGTCCAAATAGCAACACAACTTTCTCATACAGCTGTAACCATATTGGACCATCTATTGCGAGAGTTATCCACGTCTCCCCCCCTTGCCTAGAGAGAGACAGAAGGACGAACGGAAAAGGTTATGCATAAACGCTTTTAACCAGAGTTGGAAAGCGTTAAAAAGCACATTTCACGGCAAAAACATTAAAGGTAACATTAAAATGAAATCCAACGCAACAGAAGCGATACATTCTTTACACAAATCAATCACACACATCCAAGATGCAATAGTATGTCATGAAAAAGTGAATACATTCCCTCGCATGATGTGATGGCTGGGCTGGCTGGCTTCCAGGGTACAAACTGTCATTGCTAAATCTTACTTAAGAGGATCAATTTGAGCTCTGTTGTGCTATTCAACAAATGATGTGGTAATGGGGACACACATATTTGTCTCAAACATGTGCACTTTGTTCACTGGCAAGCACAGATGATGGAGAGCCATTGCTTTGCTCCAACGAGGTAGCAGCACTTCAATACGCAGATCGACATTCCCAAGGCCACCTTAGCAGCATTAAATAATCCTTCGTGCATTATTATGACACATTTGTGCTTAGAAACAGAGAATAAAACCGACGGATCAATGCAATCACACTGTTTCCCATGACGACTACCAGGGTATTAATAAAAGGTGGCATTTCACTCAAAGCCACATGCATTTAACCCGTTACAAACAGTAGCCAATGCAGACGCTAAAAAATGTCGGTATGAAATAGCTGTCCTTAGCACGTCTGCACGTCGCAAAGAAATACCAAGCATTCACTCGAACACGAGACGCACACTGTCCTGCAATGGAACCGTCCCGCCGGTAAACCCGCGAGCACGTCGTGACGCAACCGAGCTCGCACTGCGCTGCGTGGACGAGGACGGTAGCACGCATCACCCCGTCTTGGACTGTAGCACGCATCACCCCGTCTTGGACTGTAGCACGCATCACCCCGTCTTGGACTGTAGCACGCATCACCCCGTCTTGGACTGTAGCACGCATCGCCCCGCCGTGGCGTCGTTGAGCTGTGAGTCGCGTTTAAAAAGAAAACGCTCCACTCTTCTGACTCCACAAATTACTCGACATCGCACCAATCCCTCGCCCCATTGCGAACCTTGCGAGCGCCCTCCTGAAAAGTGAAATCTCGCGACTCGCGGAGCGAGGCTTTCCTGGGCCATCAAAAGTCACCGCTGTGATATCATCGATGGGGGTTACACTGCACGGCCGAAACTGTCAGGTGAACGCTGAAGTCTTCAGTAGGGTGTACGCGGGAGCCCAATGCCAGCCGACTGGATCATGGATTTCGTTTAAATTGCTGCAACCTGGAAGGATTGACATTTACCCGTTGTTAAATCCGCTTGGCGTATTTTTCTCCCTATTTCCCCCGAGGAATTTCATTATGCACATCACTGAGAAGCTGGCAGGCTTGCTAAATTAAGCGTGCATTTGTAATCATCGTAATTAAACGTTAATCAGAGTTTGCTTGACAACTTCCAAGTGCATAAACAAATACTGATGAACTGTTAATCCAGCGATAGAATTTTGATTGTGGTAGTGCTCCTAACGTTGACTGCTTCAATGAATCTTTACGGTTCTTAATTGAAAATGATTTTCTTTTGCAAAAGATGACTACTCTAAATGTGCACTCTCGTTTGAGATATTCCATTTCATTCTCGAGCACTGAATCACACAAGTGTTAAAGTAACAATTAAAGTCTGGAAATTTCGTCAGCCTTCGACACCATCAACCACTCGCTCCTCACTTCCCTCCTGAAATCCGACTTCGGTATATGTGGCTCAGCACTCAAGTGGATAGTTTCTTCAATGTTCAGTCAGGGTGGGCACGTCCACATCGCCTGAAACAAAAGCATTATGCGGGGTTTCCAGGGCTCCGTCCTAGGCCCCCTGCTCTTCACAGCCTACACTTCCCCGATCGGCCGGCTCATCGCAAGTTTCGGTGTTAAGCACCACCCATACGCGGATGACACTATTCTATTCACCGCCATCGATTCTAGCAATGCATCTGGATTCGAGAGGCTCTCGGAATGTACCACCGCCTTGCAACAGTGGTTCACTGCACACAACCTAGCCCTTAATCCGAAAAAGTCAGTGGCCATCATGTTAGGTACCAGGCAACGTCTCAACTCATCAGCACTCCCAACACACATACACATCTTTGGTCATCAGTTCATGTAACTTTCACCTGAAGGTTCTCAGACACCTACGTCCTCTCATCTCCACTGAAATTGCCAACACATTGATTGGCATGTTGCATAGTTGGGTCTCGCCTTGACTATTGCAACTCCGTCCTAGTCCGGACCTCCACTGGCAACCTAAAAAAACTTCAAAGACGACAAAACAACCTGGCACGCGTGGTCATTGGCCGCACTCATCCCCGTCTCTACTCACTTGCCTCTCTCTCCGTGCCCTCCACTGGCTACCCATTGCCAGCAGGGACACATACAAGATCGCCTGCCTATGCCACCGTGCCTTCACATCTGCCTGCCCCCCGTACCTCTCTTCATTACCGACGACTTGCAGCTCAGCACACGGCAGATGCCTGCGCAGCGCGACTCACGACCTCCTCTTGATACCAAGATTCAGGATGGTCACGTCTATGCGCCGCTTCTCGGTGGCAGCCCCAACAGTCTGGAACGCCATCACCCCTCTGCACATTCGCAGCATCGCCTCAATCGTCTCCTTCAAGAGACACTTTACAAACTCACCTCCACAACCACGCTTTCCAGCGACTCTGAGCTTGGCTCCGCACCTCTGAGTTGCGGCTGTTACGTCCGCAAATTTGTGCGCGTTATAAATTGCATTGTTATTATTATTAAAGTAAATAATTAAAGTGTTATTGTTTATTTTAAATGTTTGGTTCTAAGGCCTTTCTCCTTGAGCATCCCTCGAGGATATGTTGGCCTACTCTTCCACGACTAGCCGAGCGTCTTGGAAGAGGTGGAAGTTACCCACACTTTACCCTACAACACCTGAGCCGCCCATCGTAGACCAACTGACCTGTGCCCATTCTTACTGCTGAATGAAGAAAAAAATGGCAAGGGGCAATTAAGAAACCAACACCATTGTTTCAACTTTCCACGCCAAAATATATACATCGAATCGGCCACCCTCTGGAACGTTGATCGCTGTCACGCGTGAACGCAGCTTCTCACTTGTACAGCAATGCTGCGATTGGACATGTTAAATACCACGAGCAGCAGATATCGTTTGCAAGTTCAGCCCGCTAATTCAGCACTTTGTGAATTCCCCGTGCGTACGACAGCATGCCGTATAATAATTTGCAGCCTGAGTCAAGCTGCTGCGAGATGAACGCCTCCCTCAAGCGGCTTGAGCCGCAGGGGTTGTTTGACCATACTTCACCATGCTGGGCCGTGTGGGTTGGTGAAGTGGCTGACCCAGGACTGGTTCAGATAACTGTCGTTCACATTAGCCACGGCTGAGAGTCGAACTCGGGTTACAGGGTTCATCGCGCAGTGAGTGAACCACTGCCCTTACCGCTCTACCCCACAGAATTTGCCAAACCGCGACTCCATAGTTGCCTGCGGCTCCCGGGGCAGTTGCAGAGTGCACCCCCAATGGAGGCGCTGACAATTTGTAACTTTTCAGTATAAGTTAATTTGAAAATATATATATATTTTTTTTAAAAATCATAAATCCCTGGAAGTGGCAGCAGCCCAGCACACTTACCCCCGAGAGCGGAGCCAGACACAAGCACTCCCGGGGTGCTCCCGCAGATTTCGAAAATCGAAAACTCCACAGCCAACCGACGCGAGAGAACGGACCGCATGACCGTCAAGTGCACATCGTGCGGCTCTCGGCCGTTGGGGATCTTGGCCATGCGGCCTGCAGGGCCAGGAGGTTTGGGACAGAATGTACGTACGAAAAAAATATATTGGTATTTTTTTTTTTAAACCGGAAAGTCACACGCTTAAGTCATTGAAAAATAAACATCCGGGAGCTTAGTCACTATTTTTCCACAGCCAAAGGTGTTAGTGAGTTATTTCTGGAGAACCGCATTTGACGCCTGAATATCTGCGTTAACGCCACAACACCTCCCCCCCCCCCCCCGCAGTGGTCTCCTGTTTGCGGCTTTGCGTGGCGTAAATTTGTGACGCGCTGACAATCTGCGCAAAAAACAACCGAGCATTGTGGTAAACACACTGCCACGGTGCAGTGCATTGTGGTAAACACACCGGCACGGTGCGGTGCATTGTGGTAAACACACCGCCGTGGTGCAGTGCATTGTGGTAAACACACCGCCGCGGAGCAGAGCATTGTGGTAAACACACCGCCACGGTGCGGTGCATTGTGGTAAACACACCGCCGTGGTGCAGTGCATTGTGGTAAACACACCGCCGCGGAGCGGTGCATTGTGGTAAACACACCGCCACGGTGCGGTGCATTGTGGTAAACACACCGCCGTGGTGCAGTGCATTGTGGTAAACACACCGCCGTGGTGCAGTGCATTGTGGTAAACACACCGCCGCGGAGCGGTGCATTGTGGTAAACACACCGCCACGGTGCGGTGCATTGTGGTAAACACACCGCCGTGGTGCAGTGCATTGTGGTAAACACACCGCCACGGTGCAGTGCATTGTGGTAAACACACCGCCGCGGTGCAGTGCATTGTGGTAAACACACCGCCGCGGTGCAGTGCATTGTGGTAAACACACCGCCGCGGTGCAGTGCATTGTGGTAAACACATCGCCGCGGTGCAGAGGGCAGCCAGGACGTGAGCGGACCACCAGCCCAGCTGACCCTGTCCATTAGGGGTGCGATGATTCACGCACACGCCGCTATTCTCAGGATGACGTTCGCCGAATCGTTGCGTGCTAGAATCGACCGTGTATGCAAATAATACGGTGATGCCGTTTACATCGAATGGCACGGAACGATAATAATTGTTTGTACAGAAAAACCATGCTGCGTTCTGACTCTTTTACCAGAGGGGGTCCCTACATTGGGTTTTTATTTTAAGATGTTTACAACCAATGAACAAGTGTCCACAGAAGTCAGAAGAGCAAAACAAAAGTTGAACGAGAAGTAAAGTACAAAATGCGTTGGTAGAAATGAATCGAAGGGAGACCCTGAATCGAGACATCAGCCATGATCTATCCACTGCTGCATGAAGGACTTCCATCGTTATCTCAAACGGTCACGTGACACTAACAACTCATCTGGCTCCTGCACAGGAGCCGATGTCATTGCTGTGCTTACGTGGCGGCTGTATAATCTCATGAATATTTATATCCCCTTGGACACGCCCCTCTTGGGCAAACATCCCCACGGAGCGACCAGGCATGTAGGGGAGGCTTCATCCCAACTGCACCTACGAAGGGCTTTAAAGCACCGAGAACTTCAATTCGTTTTGGAATTTTTTTTTGTCGGCATTTGCTGCAGCGGTAATTTTATGTTTACCAAACCAAGCTTAATAGCCTATTGGGAAGCCTACAGCATTGCAGTCGACTAAAGAATGTCTTTATAATGTTAAACAAATCCTGATTAAGTAAGGCACTGATATGGTGTGGTTTACAATTCACGAGGTGTGTTACAATTCACCCTGTGATAGTATTCAACAGTCCATTCTTGTGTGCCATTTTTTCAGCCTCGCTGGGATTCTAATATTTTTTTTTGTCTGTTGGACGAATACCTCCCCCCCGAGGGCATTGCAATTGATTCAACAATCCACGTAGCTGCTACACACCAGCCGAGTTGAACGCTCCATCTCCGTGGTGGATGTCCGACTGGGTTCCCTCCTATGGCTGTCACTCGCTCGTTAATCTCGAGCACCGGCAATCGATCCCTTCTGGCGGTGATGTGCCCTGTCCGAGCCCACTTACTTTTCTTAGCAGCCACTATGATGTCTCTAACCTGCTCATGTTCTTCAATTCATGTGCTCCTCTTCTTGTCTGTCAACGTAATTCCAAGCATGTACCTCCTCCATGCTTCTTAACGCACTCTTCTGCCCGCTCCATTTCTCCATTACCATAATAAAATGCAAACCATACGAACATATAATTTTCATAGAATTTGCGTACAATGTAAATAATTGATTCTCGCACGCGCAATTCGACGTGTGTATCGCCGAGCATAAAAATCGATCTGCATCGATGGATCGAATCGTCATCACATGCCCACAACCCACTTAATCGTGCTTTATAACAACGACCTCCGGTCCTCGGATGAGCGATGATATCTCGCGGTCACTTTACCCTCCTCATAAGGACGCGAGCACACGTACACGCATTTTCCAATAACACATGGCGGCGAAGGGAACCACGCACTTATTTTATTGAGAGTGGAAGTGTGTGCGTGCAAGTGTGCATTTGCCCACGCGGTGACGCACTGCCGAGCGAGCGTGGGAGGCCTCGTGCCTTGCCCAGGTTTAAGCTCCACGTACCTTATTTCCTCCAAAGATTGGCAGGCGTACAACTGCTTCCCCAAGGGACTCTCGAGCTGATCGCGAAGCATCTGGCAGAGGCAGTACTTGGTGTTGTGTTGGGAGTTGTCATACTTCACTGCCTGTGTGAGAGCACGGGGACAGTGGCATTGAGCGCAGATTACAGCGGGAGCTGCGCAACTCTCTCACGCAACGTTTGTGACATTTTGTTCGAGGGTTGAAAATTGCTAAAACCGATGAATATATATTTAAATATATAAATGCCAACATTTGCGCAGGACTTGAATTTGTCGACCAGCATGTACAACTTGTTTAAAATCGAAGGAGACAGTTTATATTGATTTTAAATGTTTTGTGAAATACGTAATAGCAAATGACATTTAAAATATTGAAGATTTTTTTTTAATGCCAGCCACTTTATTGCAGGTGTAGCTGACTCATCTCCGCTTGGGTTTATGCAGCACACTTCTGCAACTATGTACGTGGCAGGAAGACGAAACTTTAATGCAGGAAGGAGACGGTTGGAATGTTTGAATGATTATTAACATCATTCGCAAAAAAAAAAACATTCAAGACAAATGATCTCCTCACGTAGCGAATGTACGCGTGGATGACGTCGTCCAAAGGAAGAGGGCCCTCCTTGCGCAGGACGGAAGGATTCCACATGGCGGCACGGCCAACCATCACCGAAGTGGTCCCGCAGGCCTTCTTGAACGTTTCGATGTCCTCGTAGCTCTTGATGAAGTCATGTGACCCTCCGCTGTCAGGAACACATGAAAGACGCATGAGAGCCGATGCCGAAATTAATGCAAATTTTTATTTGGCGAGCACAATTACGGCCCACTTAAAAAAAATTATACTTCACACACCGTTTCAAAATCGTCACCCTGGATTATCTCAAAAACAATGATTCAATGAATACAGACACACCACTACTATGCACTACAGAATTGCACTATTTTTTGTGTGGAATATAAATCGTCCTTGCCTGAAAATAATAAGGCATGTCAAATTTTTGATTATTCTACATTCAATTAGAACATTTTCATTTAAATAAAAACAATTTGATAAATTACCACATAGGCCACTAATCTAAATAATAGTTTTAATATGGAAGGCTTCATTAACAATTAACGTTTCTGTCTGGGTCTCTTGTGCCTTTTTTCGTCCCATTCTGTTCAAAACACTCAGCCTGTACCTGGAAATGCGGTGGAATCTAACACGAGGTGAGGCTCGATGATAGCCATGTCCATGAGTTGTGAAGTGTTTACCGTTTTAGCTACGGACGGATGTGAGCATGTGACGGTGTACTCTCCATCACCACGGCAAGACAGCACAACCACCCATCACGGACATGCGCACACATGAAACTAACGCTGAATGATAATAATAATAATAAACATGGACAAACAATTTATTCATTTTACGGTTAACCCAAGTGAATGTTCATTCCCTTTTCTTGCATTACAGACCAGACGTTTGATCAATCACCCAAAATAAACAATTTGCACATGTGCACTACACCGAGCGTAATAAACACATTTGTTAGCATTCATAAATGGGGTGGCTTACTTATATGCACTATTTATAATGAAGTAAAAACGGCTAGATATGGCCCATTAGGCTTATATATATTTATTCTGTACAAAAGAATGCTTTCAGCATGCCGCGGATATTTTTGCATACATCTAATAGCATTTTTAAGTATTCGTTTTAAAAACGAACGAACGAAGATCCAAAGTGGCCCACGTGACTCTTGGTTCAGAGACACTAAGTCAGCACCTCTGAAAACCGGGGTTCACATCTGCGTTACTGTCCTCTTTGATTAAACTTAATTCTCAAGCGTTAGTGAGCTGATGGTCTCAGCCCGGTCACCAAAGATTCCACAAAACAAACCCGATCATATAAAAAAATATATGATTAGTCATATAATGTACCGCATTGACATTTTGCTCAAGGGGGAGAGTTACTAAATGATTTGCAGATTGTGGATGATCAAGGGATGGTGACAAGTAAAGAGATTGCAAAGGTTGACAGATGGGATAAACATTACAAAATAATACGGTGGAGGATACACTGAAGCAAAAGTGATAAGAAAATAAATTAAAAGTGGAGTAAGAATAATAATCACGATTAATGAACTGGCATAGAATGTGAAGACATTCTGCTACTTGGGCACAATGATCACGGAAGATGGGTGGTGTGTAGCTGAAATAATATTAATGGTTGGCATGGGGAAAGAGGTATTCAGCAGGAGGAGAGAGTTGTTGACAATAAGGAAGAGTGGAACAGCAAAGACAGAGAGAATCAAGATGATTGTGTGAGGCAGATCTTTGCACGGAGCAGACAATGAGAAAACGCAAACTGAGACAGTCAGATGCGTTTAAGACATGGACATGAGAAGGATGCAGAGGGTGGAGCTGGACAGAGAAGCGGACCAAGGAATAATATTAAATCCAGCTCTGACACAAATACAAATCTCAATCCACTGACACAAATACAAACCTCAATCCACTGACACATATCTCAATCCACTGACACATATCTCAATCCACTGACACAAGTACAAACCTCAATCCACTAACACATATCTCAATCCACTGACACAAGTACAAACCTCGATCCACTGACACAAATACAAATCTCAATCCACTGACACATATCTCAATCCACTGACAAAAATACAAACCTCAATCCACTGACACATATCTCAATCCACTGACACAAGTACAAACCTCAATCCACTAACACATATCTCAATCCACTGACACAAGTACAAACCTCGATCCACTGACACAAATACAAACCTCAATCCACTGACACAAATACAAATCTCAATCCACTGACACGAATACAAATCTCAATCCACTGACACAAATACTAATCTCAATCCACTGACACAAATACAAACCTCAATCCACTCACACAAATACAAACCTCAATCCAATGACACAAATACAAACCTCAATCCACTCACACAAATACAAAGCTCAAGCCACTGACACGAATACAAATCTCAATCCACTGCAATAAATACAAAGCTCAATGCACAGTGTGTGGGAATGTGGTCTCCTATCGTGTAAGCATACAAAGAGGGCCACTTGTTGAGCAACCGCTCTCGTATATCCAGGGTCGGACCGCTTCATGAGATTTCAACGTGGATTATCTACCCATGAAGTGATGCTGCATGCACACCAGGAATAAATACTTGCAGAAAGACCAAAACACATTTGAAAAGAGCACCGTAAATCCACATTGATAAAGTATCTTGCGTAAGAAAGATCCATAACATGGTGTTATCGGAACTCAAGCGCTACTGCCCACGAGCCACATCACATTAACGTTTACAGTGAGAGAAAAAAGTATTTGATCCCCTGCTGATTTTGTACGTTTGCCCACTGACAAAGAAATTATCAGTCTATAATTTTAATGGTAGGTTTATTTGAACAGTGAGAGACAGAATAACAACAACAAAAATCCAGAAAAACGCATGTCAAAAATGTTATAAATTGATTTGCATTTTAATTAGGAAAATAAGTATTTGACCCCTCTGCAAAACATGACTTAGTACTTGGTGGCAAAACCCTTGTTGGCAATCACAGAGGTCGAGGTTGACGTTTGGCAACTCGAACCTTCAGCTCCCTCCACAGATTTTCTATGGGATTAAGGTCTGGAGACTGGCTAGGCCACTCCAGGACCCTAATGTGCTTCTTCTTGAGCCACTCCTTTGTTGCCTTGGCCGTATGTTTTGGGTCATTGTCATGCTGGAATACCCATCCACGACCAATTTTCAATGCCCTGGCTGAGGGAAGGAGGTTCTCACCCAAGATTTGACGGGACATGGCCCCGTCCATCGTCCCTTTGATGCGGTGAAGTTGTCCTGTCCCCTGAGCAGAAAAACACCACCAAAGCAAAATGTTTCCACCTCCATGTTTGACAGTGGGGATGGTGTTCTTGGGGTCATAGGCAGGATTCCTCCTCCTCCAAACATGGCGAGTTGAGTTGATGCCAAAGAGCTCCATTTTGGTCTCATCTGATCACAACACTTTCACCCAGTTGTCCTCTGAATCATTCAGATGTCCAATGGCAAACTTCAGACGGGAATGTATATGTGCTTTCTTGAGCAGGGTTACCTTGCAAGCGCTGCAGGATTTCAGTCTTTCACGGCGTAGTGTGTTACCAATTGTTTTATTGGTGACTATGGTCCCAGTTGCCTTGAGATCATTGACAAGATCCTCCCGTGTAGTTCTGGGCTGATTCCTCACCGTTCTCATGATCATTGCAACTCCACGAGGTGCGATCTTGCATGGAGCCCCAGGCCGAGGGAGATTAACAGTTCTTTTGTGTTTCTTCCATTTGCGAATAATCGCACCAACTGTTGTCACCTTCTCACCAAGCTGCTTGGCAATGGTCTTGTAGCCCATTCCAGCCTTGTGTAGGTCTACAATCTTGTCCCTGACATCCTTGGAGAGCTCTTTGGTCTTGGCCATGGTGGAGAGTTTGGAATCTGATTGATTGATTGCTTCTGTGGACAGGTGTCTTTTATACAGGTAACAAGCTGAGATTAGGAGCACTCCCTTTAAGAGTGTGCTCCTAATCTCAGCTCGTTACCTGTATAAAAGACACCTGGGAGCCAGAAATCTTTCTGATTGAGAGGGGGTCAAATACTTATTTCCCTCATTAAAATGCAAATCAATTTAAGACATTTTTGACATGCGTTTTTCTGGATTTTTGTTGTTGTTATTCTGTCTCTCACTGTTCAAATAAACCTGCCATTAAAATTACAGACTGATAATTTCTTTGTCAGTGGGCAAACGTACAAAATCAGCAGGGGATCAAATACTTTTTTTCCCCTCACTGCACTTTTGTTCCTCCTAGAGCTATAGAATATCTGTTGCTGACCACGATGGATGGACCCACAGTTTCCCCCTAAAATCTCACAGCTGGCAGCGTGGTAGAGGCATTATTTCTCTGGCACGTGGCCCAGGCAACGCACTGGCCTCCTTTTTCCATTTACCCTGACCCCCAAGCCACAAGCGTATCGAGCACGCCATGTGCTCACGGCGACGTCCCATCATCTCGTTCCGCTTAATGTCACGAGAGACAATAAAAGACGCACGAAACCCGGGCATCCAAGCGTGCGCAATACATGCCTTTGAAAAAAGTGCTCGACAACACACGATGTGTGACATCGTGATGTGAAAGGGCGAGAGGGCTATTTAAATTAACTTTGCAGGCGCTGAAGAAAGCCGGCGCCTCCAAATTATGTGTCACCGTCCATTGGCTGCGATTGCTGCCGAGCATTCAAAAACATCAACACCGTGATCCGAAAGAGGTCAGAGTTCATGTTTGCTGATCATGAAAATGCAAGCACCCGTGACGAAAATGTTTCACAAGCGTTGTCTATCACATCCTGGGTGATTAAATTAACCAGACCGGACGCACAAGTAATTAGGTGGGCAGCATCTGTGTTTTCATGGTGTGGCTTCAGGTCAAAATAAGTCAGCATAATTATCCATACTTGACAGAGTGTATAATTCCAATGAGATAAACATTTGTAAATCTACTAGACTGCATTCAGTTGGCCAAACTAACATAAATGACCAGGTTTCAAATGAAACGTATCATACTCAGATTTGTTTTGCAATGACAAAAACATTAAAAAAGAGATTGCACCTTACCTTTATTTTTAAGACCGCAAAAGACTATGTAAAGCCATTACTTCAAGAGGCAAATTTACACACACATACACACACATCT